CTCGAAGAGGTCAATTTTCTTTTTAAAAAATACAAAATTTTTAACTTGATTTAAAATTCTATCTTTGTTTTTAATTGATATTATTTCACTTTTTGGATATTTTTTTTTCAGAATTTTATGTAATACCTAATATTTTGGTGTTGCCATTTCGATAATTAAAAAATCTATCAAATTCGCTAAAAAATTAAGGGTTCCCATTAAAAAAAATGTCGCTGCCGTCATTACTTAAAAACCAAAAAGTGTGGAATTTTAAAACAAGTTGAAAATTCATTATTCAGACAGGTATAAACTTAATTTAATTAGATATCTAAGATGTGGCCCAAAGAAAATTACAATTGATGATTTCTTTTTAAATTAGTAAAAACTAAGTAAGTATCGAGAGATCAAGATAATTTGTCCTTATATCCGAAAACTTATGTCCTGGGCGTATGTCTGTGAAACGTCAAATAAAATGACAAGTGGAAAAGTAAAATCTCATGATCAAAAAGATAACTAAATTTATTATTTTTCTTCAAAAAAGAACAGTCTTATTATTATACGTCGGCGACTAATTCCAACCCATTTTGCCTTTTTCGACTTGTCATTTTATTTGACGTTTCATCTGTAGTTAGTTCAAAAACAGACATACGGACAGTTGCGGAATTAAAAATTCGGGCAGTACYTATTTTTCTGTCACTTTAAAAAGTTCACTATAAACTACCTTTTACTGTCATCAATTAAACTTATTTTTATTTGTTGCCAAATTTGTTAATTAAACAATTTGTCTGTCTTAGGAAATTTATTAAGATCTGCTGCCTACCCGTTATTATGCCACAAATCACTATTTTTGAAAGTAAATAAGTCAAAATGACATAAATATGACAAAAGTAAAAAATGAGGTTATTAATATAAAGGTTGTTTTAGAGTTTACATTATGAAAATAACAGTACTGCCCGAAATTTTAATTCCGCAACTGTACGTTTTCGGATCCAAAAATGACTCCATTACAAATTATTTTGATCTCTCGGTATACATTTGTTGCCGTGGATATCATTTATTCAAAATTCCTACTTTTTGATTTCAGCATTGTGCGGTCCTCAGTTTAAATTAAAATATCTTAGAAACGGTCCACTTTAGAGAAATTAAAGGTTATGAGTTTTTTATTCGAAACTGATTACTCTATCGATTTAGAAAATAAAAAATTGGTGTTAAGAAAGCAAAAAAATGGAAAAACACAGAAAATGTGACCTGAAATTGTTGTAACCGGAAATTGAGTAGATGTATCCGGTTTTCGTGATTACCAGTTCAAAAGGTATGTTGTCACAAGGAAATGTTCGAAATTTTATAATATTTGGTCAAATACAGGGTGCGCCAGAACTCGCGCCCCAGAGAAAATTTTTCAAGTAAGGTAAGATACCAGGAACATGAAAAAAATGTTTAAAATATTCTATCTGTCAAAAAATTTTGACATTTATTTTTTGACATTTGACATTTTTTATATCTATTTAAGGATACTGATGATCTTGTATATGTTTTTTACAATTATTTGGTAAAGGGACAAAAATTTTGCCAATAAAAGCCACAAATAACATTGAACAGAGTTACAATTTAGGATACAGCTTCCTTGTTTCTTCTTTTAATAGCCTACAGCAAAAAAACTTGA